TTAAAGGCACAATCCAGGCAGAGGTCGTGTGAACGCTTTCCTTCGGTCTGTAGTATAGACCCCTAGAGGACAATCACAAATGTGGCGTTCCCGTGCACGGAAACCAACCGACAAGAGCGCTTGGGCCTTGCAAAGTAAGCTGCTGAAGCTGCAGATTTTTCTCTTATCAGGCTGTTGTCTGGCGCTCTCTCATCTGTAGCGCTCTCTCGCCTCATACTCTCCTCATAACATAAATTGCCGATTATCTCGCACTAATTCTGTCATAATCTGATTGAATGACAATTCTCTCCCAGAAGAAGCCCACTAATGAATTTGTTTCCTAACAAAATGGGAAATATTTTAAAGATAACGATCCTCTTCCGTGTACTGGCATGCTGCACATGGTCCGCAATGGGTTGAAGTGTCGAAAAAAAACTGTCGCTCTATCTCGATACGTGAATGATCAGGATTTTCCAGGCTCTGCGCTGTTCTCTGGGCTTATGTACTTCAGCGACGATTTGATGTACCGGCGTTATCGTTTGTGATGATCTCAGTTGGCACGTTCTTTGTTGGAATCGTCGCCTCGTTGACGGTGATTGTCATCGAGAAACTTATGCAGGAGGTTGGACTCTTAGTTCCTTCTTTTTTAAGGACACTGAGTCAATGTCACTGAAGATAAGCTTGCGCAGAGGTGGTACGCGTTGCGGATGCAGGCGGGCTGCCACCAATTAACCCTTTGACGGCAATGCGAATTTGCACGAAGCGCTCGTGGGACCGCGCCCCATTTGGCGCGCGCCCAGCTTTCGTTCAAAATCAGGCTAAATGGTCGCCTTTACACATTGACGACAAATAACCGCGGGGATATATATCCCGCGCCATTGCAGGCCAAAGGTCGAATAAGCGATATACACTCCGTTGCAAAACTATACGACATACCCCAAATTTTGAGTTTCTGAAGTTGCGAGAAGCTCTGCTCGAAAATGGCTAATGCCATTCGATTCAGCGTGTAAAGAAACCTACAAATGAGAATCTTCAAACAGATTTGTCAAATTCCAGAAATCTAGGATCAAAAATTTGAAAAAACGGCCGTTGCAAAATTATACGACATAGCAGAAATTTCGACAATTTTTTTGCTTCACTAAAATTTTTCCAAACTACTCCACAGTCGTAATAGCACTGTATTGTAGGTGAGCAGGCCACGGATTCGCCTTGAGGCGCCTTCACCCTGAGGAGCCTATCTGACATGTTATCTACCAATTTTTGTATGCCTAATCCCAGATACGTGCGTAATTTTCAAGTAGCTTCTTCTGCAATAGATGCATGGAGCTGTGCCAATTCCACCAGGTACAAACAACACGGGTAAGAGTGTCCCATGGGTTTTCCATCGGATTTAGACTTCGCTAACAGGCGGACCATCCCATTGAATCTACATGGTAGGTTTCAAAGCAAGTTGAAGTCGGCTCAGTAACATGTATAACCGCATTGTAGTGTTGAGAAACATGCCGATGATGACGATTCTGCGTAGTAGACGGTAGCACGCGATGATTGAGCCACTTATTGCTAGTCGGTGGGGTCCCTTCCGTTGAACCATGAAGACCACATCTAGCTTGCCATACCAACTGTAGGTTGTGCAGCGTTACCAAGCTCATCTTCGAGAGGGAAAAAACGGAATTTCCGCTCAAATCATCTTTGCACTATGCCACCTATCTGGCCGACTAGGAGAAATACTTCCTTTCTCCGAAGAACTACCTGCAAAACCTAAGAACAAATAAGTCGTTTGGCATCTCGCCCAAGTGCAATCTGTACGAAAAGTCAACAGATTTACCGATCACGATGATGTGCTCTGACAACACGGGCTACCGTCTACTACGCAGAATCGTCATCATCGGCATGTTTCTCAACACTATAATGCGGTTATACATGTTACTGAGCCGACTTCAACTTGCTTTGAAACCTACCATGTAGATTCAATGGGATGGTCCGCCTGTTAGCGAAGTCTAAATCCGATGGAAAACCCATGGGACACTCTTACCCGTGTTGTTTGTTCCTGGTGGAATTGGCACAGCTCCATGCATCTATTGCAGAAGAAGCTACTTAAAAATTACGCACGTATCTGGGATTAGGCATACAAAAATTGGTAGATAACATGTCAGATAGGCTCCTCAGGGTGAAGGCGCCTCAAGGCGAATCCGTGGCCTGCTCACCTACAATACAGTGCTATTACGACTGTGGAGTAGTTTGGAAAAATTTTAGTGAAGCAAAAAAATTGTCGAAATTTCTGCTATGTCGTATAATTTTGCAACGGCCGTTTTTTCAAATTTTTGATCCTAGATTTCTGGAATTTGACAAATCTGTTTGAAGATTCTCATTTGTAGGTTTCTTTACACGCTGAATCGAATGGCATTAGCCATTTTCGTGCAGAGTTTCTCGCACTTCAGAAACCAAAATTTGGGGTATGTCGTATAGTTTTGCAACGGAGTGTATATATATATATATATATATATATATATATATATATATATATATATATATATATATATATATATATATATATATATATACACTGCGTCCCATAATATACGTCCACCTAAATTTCCCTCTCAGTACAGATGTTTCGAAAAAAGTCTCCTATGTGACAATGTATCGCATATAAATACGCAATTGCCTATGAACATCAATTTTCTATTTGAGATCACAGGAATTTTTCCCAATAATTTTTGTGTAAAAGGCCACTCAGCCGACGTCCCAAAATTATACGTCCACCTCACGTTTATCGATTACTTTTCACTTCTGTTCCACGAAACTTTTTCATTGTGGTAACACTTCACTTCTTAAGAGAACAGCATAATAAAGACTGCTGTTGGATTTTGAGAAAGGGAAAATGTCGCAAAAACTGTTGAACAACGCAATCCGCACCAGATTTGGTCCAGATTCACGCCAAGCTTGAGAATTTTTTCAGGGGTTTCACATGATATGGAGTTTAGAAGAGCTCTAAAAGTCTCTCATTACTTTTCGATGGAAACAAAGGCCGTGTTACAGAAAAACATCCACTTTCATCCAACGGTGCTCTGTCGTCGAATCTTCTTGAGAACTTTATGCCTCAACGGACTTTTGTTTCATGCTTGTAAAAGAATCCCAAGATCATTCTTGATTGGGAAATGAAAGACGGTCATTCATGGCAAGCAATCGTGGCGAAAACTGGGCTGATTTTTGCATGAAGGTGCAGCCGAGCCGACTGAAGTAAGGTTCGCTTCTGCCCGATATGTTTTGGCATTTGTTTGTTTCTCTTCTCACGTTTACCTTTCCCTTAATGGCTTTTTTCTTAGTGAAGCACTACTAAAAGAAAGAAAATGTTGAAAAGAAAGACAGACAAACACTCATGCATAGCAAGGAGAAAGGGACCCTGCTCCAGTCGGCTCGGCTGCACCTTCATGCAAAAATCAGCCCAGTTTTCGTCACGATTCCTTGCCATAAATGAACGTCTTTCACATTTTCCGATCAAGAATGATCTTGGGATTCCTTTACACAAGCATGAAACAAAAGCCCGTTGAGGCATAAAGTTCTCAAGAAGATTCGATGACAGAGCACCGTTGGATGAAAAGGGATGTTTTTTCTGTAACACGGCCTTTGTTTCCATCGAAAAGTAATGAGAGACTTTTAGAGCTCTTCTAAACTCCATATCATGTGAAACCCCTGAAAAAATTCTCAAGCTTGGCGTGAATCTGGACCAAATCTGGTGCGATTGCGTTGATCAACAGTTTTTGCGACATTTTCCTTTCTCAAAATCCAACAGCAGTCTTTATTATGCTGTTCCCTTAAGAAGTGAAGTGTTACCACAATGAAAAAGTTTCGTGGAACAGAAGTGAAAAGTAATCGATAAACGTGAGGTGGACGTATAATTTTGGGACGTCGGCTGAGTGGCCTTTTACACAAAAATTATTGAAAAAATTCCTGTGATCTCAAATAGAAAATTGATGTTCATTGGTGATCCCGCATTTATATATGACACATTGCTACATTGAAGACTTTTTTCAAACATCTATATCTGTGAGATTTTGGGAAATTCTTAGGTGGACGTATAATTATGGGACGCAGTGTATATGGATATCCCCCGCACCCATTACACTCATTTTTTTCGCGCACGCCTGATTCTTTTAGAAGTTTCTTGTATTCATTCCATGGAAGAGACCTTGACGTAGCTACAAACATAGTGGCCCTTAGAATGGTCACGTATACTTTAATTTAGAGGAGGATTTCTGAACCATACTCGTATAGCTTCGTATAATGTGAAGCTTTTAAAAATAGTAGTTAGAGTAGATAAGGAACCTTACGGAATGACAATATGTGGGTTTTGTTGTATCAACGTAAATTGCTTTTTGAATTCCCAAATTGGTAAAAAATTAGGTTTCCTGACAATGATTCGCTTTTTCATGTTACCCGCATGTCTTCGATCGAATTTTCCACTTCTACTACCCCTCCGGGTATTTGCCCCCTCCATTACAATTTTACTCGATTTGGTGTTCGAATTTATGATTTAGCTTTGTATTTTATCACTCAAATCTGTCTGAAGCGACCCTGAGGCGAGCGGCGGCTCGTGGGGTCCGCACGTGCAAAATGCCAAAACTCGCGTTGGTCATGTGTTGGTAGTTTCATGAATAATCGACTTTCTGTGTACTAAATAAAACACGTTTTGAGCTTCGCGCATTCTGTATTGTTGCTGAAAAAATGGTGATGCCCCGATTCTGATTCGAAGGTAGGTAAACCATTGCATCACGCTTCACACAGAGTCTTTGAACACTTGTGCGGGTTTAAACTTCGAATGAATTTGAAACCCGCACATGTGTGCAAGAGGACTACAGAAGCGTAAAGAGCCCGTAGGTTGATTCTTCGGCTAGACCCTTCGATATGCCGTGCGAAGCTAAATGCTAAATGCTTTCTGAAACCTATAAATATCATCGTTGCTTCTTGACCACGCTAGAATCAGACTAGGAATGTTGCTAATCTCTGCTGGCATGTTAAAAATGATTAAAATCAGACAGGTTCTTAAGTGAACCCACTATTGGCTCCATTGTCCACCGCAGCACAAGGCGCCAAATGGCCAGCCCAGGTGGGACCAGGGTGAATATCGCTTGAGGATTCCTCAACGGCACGTCGAGGATTCTCTGCCGATCAGAGACGATCTCTCGCGCGGACATTCACACTCGCCATGCCGTGCCGTCTGTGCTCTCCGCGCGATGTTCACTCTCGGCACTACTCTCGCATGGTAGAGAGCTATGGTCGAGGATTTCCTCGACCGTTATTCACCACCCGGTGGGTGCCAAGTCCAGGGTACGAAACGCTGGCTCAGGTGGACGCACTTTAGTGGCTGTTTATGTAAAGCCGCCTTTGGGCGCGGTTGCGCTTTGATTTCGCGCGCCTGTTGGAGACGGGCTGCTTCTTTGAGGCTAACGGGTGCTACAATACACCCTAGCGCGAACGCCCTTCGATAGCCGTAAGGAAGTGCTCTTTATTTGGCGCAAACGTCGTGAACTGCACTTGCAGTGCGGGGTCACTCTGTGATTTCTTGGTACAAATCCGGCTCAGACCAAGAAAAAACCAGGGCTTACCAAAAAACAAGCCTGGCTCAAACTGAAATAATGGCAGTTTTGATATATACGGTGTCACAATTCCCCTAAATTTCTTGTTCAGGATCCAACGCTTATTGGTCCGCATACAGTATGTTCGACGGTCTTTCTGATACTGCCGCAGTACAACCTCGGAATGGCCATTTTCCGCGGCAGTTTCGTGTTCCAACTCATCCAGCTCGGCGAGAATTTCCTCAGTGTGTGCCATTAATGTGGACTGATCTGATAAAAAAATCAAGAATAGTTTACTAATTTTTGTTTTTTTCCAGAAGAACTGAACCGCCCCGATCTCGCGTCATCATTGCCGATTCCGTCACTACTTCACTGGTCGTTAATGGGCATACACTGCGCTTGTTTGACAGTTCACATTCCTAATTGCGGCACTCGTGCTCTTCATTCTGGAACGAGAGCCTTTCGGATTTTTGAGGTAATTTTGGGACATCCTCCATTCTTTCTTTCACTTTGCAAATCACCCAACCCCTATCATGACATCTGCTAGCTGACTCGGCTTGCTTTTGCAAGCTCGGTAACAGCAAACATGATAATTTTTCTGAGCCGATGTATGCCTGTGAGAAATACACTGCGTCCCATAATTATAACTCCACCCAAGAATTTCCCAAAATCTCACAAATTTAGATGTTTTAGAAAAAGTCTCCAATGTGGCAGTGTGTCAAATACAAATACGAAATTGCCTATGAACATCAACTTCCAACTTGAGATCCAGGAATTTTTTCTAATAATTTTTGTGTAAAAGGCCACTTGCCGACGTCCCAAAATTATACGTCCACCTCATGTTTATCGATTACTTTTCACTTCTGTTCCACGAAACTTTTTCATTGTGGTAACACTTCACTTCTTAAGGGAACAGCATAATAAAACTGCTGTTGGACTCAAAAGTGGTGAGGTCGTCGCATAATTGTCGAACTAAGCAATGGCGCGAAATTGGGATCAAATTCATGCCGTACTCAAGTTCTTCAGAGATTAATATGATATAAAGTTCAGAAGAGCTCCACGGATCACGGATCGGTATTCTATAGAAACCGGGGCCGTATCACTAGAGAAACACCCACTTCTATTATACCAAGCCGTACTCTGTCACCGAACCTCTCTCGAAACCTTATGTCTCAATTAGTAATGTTTCATGCATGTGAAATTATCCGAAGTTATCCTCAGTTCACCCACAAGTGAAAAGTGTGGAAGGCATCATCTGCGGCAAGATAGCGCGACCAAATTTGGGCCGAATTTTGCATGAAGGCGCGGTCAAGCCGGATGGAGCTTGATATTTTTTTAGCACTTGTCTGCCTTTCTCCTCATGTTTTTCTTTTTCTTTTTCTTGGTGGCTCTTTTCTTCGTGAAGCACTATCAGAGGGAAGAAAAGCATGAAGAGAAAGGCAGACAAGTGCGAACGCGCCTTCACGCAAAATTCGGCTACAATCCCCTTAGCCGTTTGATAATCCACGTCCACTCCAAAGCTGTTCAGCTCCCTTTCTAGCGGCTTTCTAAGGTGAGTTTTTTGTTCAGTCACACTTTTTATGTTCTTGACTAGGCTAGCGAGCGTGGTCCGTCAGGGTATTCCTATTGAGAATACAAAAGTGAAACAAAACAAAAGAAGTTATTTTTAGATTTGGGCAGAAGCGTGAATTTTTCCCACATCTGATCACTTAATTGTCTAGGAAGTGGGAACAGATCTACACACGTCGTCTTCTCGAAAGCGCGAAGTGCAATGTTGACGAAGATGTGATTGCTGAGCAGAGAAAAGTGGACGAACTCGAAGAGTCTTGGCGACAATCCCCTTGTCGTCAAAGACTTGGCAAAGGTGAGAAATGGCAGCATTATTTTCAAAATTGTATTTATGGTATTATTACTGATGAAATTGTAACCTCTTCAGAGAGGTTATGGGGCAAACCCTCCACAAATTCAGATCTCATTAATAGTGCCCTAGAACAATCTCTTTTTTTCAAACAAGGTACGTAGGCTGCATCCGCAAAGGTAGCGGATCTGACGTTTAGGGGGCGCATGGCAACGACATCGTTGGTTCACAACTTACTTCGCTACCCGACCGACGGTGCCGGCTTCTCGCTCGTCCTTACTTTCTCTCATCTCCACGCCCATCTTTTCTTCTTCTCGCACTTTTCTACCACCATGTGGGTAGAGCCTTTATTTCCACTGTGCTCGGCCATTTTTTCTCCTTTTACTTCAGTGGTGTTTCATCTCGCTCCTTCTTATTGATTTCCTAGCACAATACCACAGTAGGCAATCAAGGACTTCACATTTCAACGAGGGTTCTATAAATCGTGACCTGCAAGGTGTTTTGGGCCATTACATCGTACGACGTGAACTTTCTGAGAAACATCTCTCCAACTTTCCAGAGATAACAAGTGTATGATCTGGTTTTGAATTTACTCAGAAGAGGAACTCACGATAAGAATGAAGGTTGAAGAAGGAGTAATTCACCTAGTTAAAAGACCGG